GGTGATGTGGGATCTATTAACTATAGAAAATATGTCAAGGAGACATATTAATCATAAACACAGATATATTGGCCCTTTCCTTTTTCTTCCTATGGGGAAATTAACATTTTATAATTTTGCAGCCCTGTCAAGTGAGCTTCCTCAAGAGTATTCTTTAAGTAAAGCTATTACTTTAAATGTCTTATTGCTGAAAGTACTGAGAAACATTCTTCCGTGTATATAATATATTTATGCTTTTGTGAAGGACAGAATCTAGTCTTGACATTTATTTTATTACATTTGTGACCCCTAGAGAAAAGTTATCTGAACTTTTTAAATGATGTTGCAGTTAGAAGGAGCTGAACAATTGAAGGTCTATATTTTCCAGAATAGAGTGAAAAGATAGATTTACTTAAAAGTTAATTAAACTGTCAAATGTGAGAATATCCTTGGGTGGTACAAATGGTTACCATGCTTGGCTGCTAAATGTAAGGTTGGAGGTTTGAGTTCACCTCAGAGGCACCTCAAAAGAAAGACCTGGTGATCTCCGTCTGAAAAATCAACTATTAACCCCAGTGGGGCACAGTTCTGGTCTGATACACATGAAGCACACATGAGTTGGGCTTAACTCCATGGCTACTGGTAATATGAAAACAGAAATGGTACTAGAAAGGAGGTTAGGGGCCCAGGTGAGAAATTCATATTAAATGGGATTGTTTAGGATTCCTGGCCTTCTGTGGACTCATTTCAGTCTCTTGCCCAGAGTTAGTAAAACAGTCTTACTGTTAACCAGAAAAATGCCTATAAAAATGAAATGATTTCTTATAAAATCTGACGCTGACTATACTTTTATGTACCACTGAAAACCCATGTGCTCATTTCTGGATCTGAGTCTTTCAGAGAATGCCAAAATCAAAATGCTTCTTGCAAATGCTGAATTTTTCCACTCCACATTCAGATTTAGATAGATAGTTAAGAGAAGATAAAAACCTATGAGGCAAATGATGGCATATTGACAGCAGAGTTGAGGATTTACTGCTAGTCCTGCTAGCCTTTCTTTCATATGCTTAATTTAGGAAAATGGAATTTTGTGAGGCTGTAAGTGAAAAACCTAGGCCTTTTTTGGAGCCATCAAAAGTGAATGGAATATTGGCAGTATTTCCTACATGGCTGCCTCTGAAAATTTTTCCCTTTTTTTTTTTTCTTTTATTCCAAATTAATTTTAAGACCTAATTGGATTATATACAGTAATTAGTACGAAAAGGCACATATAGATGCAGTCATCTTTTTTTTTTTTTTTTCCTGATGTGTTCCACAAACCAAACCAAACTCACTGCTGTTGAGTCAGTCCTGACTCATAGCAACCCCTCCTTGGGTTTATAGCGACCCCTCCTTGGGTTTATAGCGACCCCTCCTTGGATTCCCAAGGTGGTGTCTCTAGGGAAGTAGATTGCTCAATCTTCCTTCCGAGGAGTGGCTTGTGGGTTTGAACCACCAGCCTTCTGGTTAGCAGTCAAATGCCTTGGACACAAGGCCACCAGAGCTCTCCTGTCAAACAGGATGTAAATGGCCACATTGGTTTCCTGAAATCAGAAAAATCTTTAAAAATCTCTGCACAAAATTTGCTGTACTACTGTTTACTACAACTTGAAACAATGAAATAAATCAGTTTTCAATTAAGAAAATGGATAAAAATTATAGGCTGCCTGTTAAAAACCCCTCACAATGAGTAAGTGTCTATTACAAATGGAATAGGGCAAAGAGTGTTTTATTAGGAATGCACAAACATATTTCCATATGGTTAGAAAAAGATAAAAGATTTTTTTTCTTAGCTTCATTCAGCTTGTGCAATGAGTATTATTGATTAAAGTGTTAGGCTCAATAAAAACTTCAAATTGGAGTAGAGAAGACCTTAAGGAGAAGAAAAAGGTTACGGTCTATGAAGTCAGCTGGTGATTAAATGTGTTATAAAAATTGATTTGTCAAGCATGAACTGCCATTAGTTTTCTTGGTATTCAGTGGCATATGTTGTTCTACAGCTTACATTACATGTAAAACAACAATATAATTTGATATCAGATTCCTATCTGATATGTTTGTAAATATCAGATGTTTGTAAATATCATGCCCTATGAGAAGCTAATTATAAAACTTTAGTCCATCTGTATATGTGTTATTAATGCTTTCAAAGTCTTTTGTAAGCTAATGAGAAAGTTGCTTTACAAGTAATTTAACAGAATGCTGATTCCAACTTAGGGCAAGTCCATGTGTGGTAGACTAGAACTGAAGTCCATAGGGTTTTTTTTTTTTTGGCTGTAATTTTTCAGATGCAGATCTCCTGACCTTTCTTTCACAGTGCCACCGGGTGGCTTGACTGCCAACCTTTAGATTAGTTACCAAAACCAAACTCAATGCCATCAAGTTGATTCTCACTCATAGCAATTCCCATTGGGTTTCCAAAGCTGTAAATCTTTGTGGAAGTAGACTGTCTCATCTTTCTTCCACAAAGTGGCTGGTGGGTTCAA